TTTGACCTTAATTTTTAAATGTTTATGCATGTGATTTAAAATGTAAATGATATCTCTCTAACAATTTATATCAATTTTTCAAATGCATAACATTTTTTGGGAAGCTTTATGCATATGCATTTAATTTCAAGAATTGGTATTGCATAAATTATTTTAGACTTGGATATATTGAATTTCATGTGCTACTAACATGTTTGTTATTCTTTGCTGAAATTCAATTTTGTTTAAGTGTCAATTTTTTAAAGCTAAAATTTGTTTGGAATGAACTTATTAAAGAGGAGCTTTGATTTTTCAAATGATTTTTTAAATATTTACCGCTTACTCTCCATTGTTATTTTAGAACTTTAAAGTTGAATTATTTTTTATATAACAAAAAGGAGGAGAAATATGGGTTTGAAAAATCCAATTTTATTAATGAAAAAGGGGGAGCTGAACATTTTTACATATTTTTCAACAATTGATATCTTTTTCATTAAATATTTTATTAAGGGGGAGTTTTGCCAAAAACAATTTTTCAAATGTTTTGTTATATCAAAAAGGGGAGATTGTTGAACTATGTTTTGATATAATAATTTATGGCAAAATGTTTTTGGACTTGAATTGAATCTATTCAAAGTTTTCAAAGTTTACAAAAATAATTCAAAATCCATTTAATTTGGAATTGAGCACAAAAATGTTTTTATGAATAGTACTATACTGTATGAATAGTATCGATATTGTGTTAACATTAATGAACAATACCGATGCTCAAAAATTCCAGAATACAAAATGGGTATTGATACCTCTACAATAGTATCGATAATGCTACAGTAATTTCAAGCCCAACGGTCATAAAATTCAAATATTACAAAGGTAGTATTGATACCCCATTGAAGGAGTATCGATACTACTTGTTCTGGGCAGTTTTATTTTGCAGAAAATGAATCCCCAACGGCTATATACGACTTCAAACTCATTTCAAGCTATAAAAACAAGCTGAGGACACTTGAAGAAGACATAGAACAACTATCCAAGCAATCAAACACAAGACAAGAGTTTTTCAATCTTATTTCATCTTTCTCTTGTAAATATTTTGTTCTTGTGAGCTTAAAATCTTGTAAACACCTACCTTAGAGAGGTTTTCTTGTTTACATTTCCTTTCATTGTAACGGGGTTTTGGTTCTAGCTAAGCCTGCTAAAAGCTAGGGAAAGGTTCTAGTTAACCCGTGAAAAACTAGGGAGTTTGTAAAGGTTATCTCTTTGTCCTGTAAAAAGAAAGAACAAATTAGTGAATTTGTTGGAAAATCCTTGGTGAGGAGCTAAGGTAGTGGATGTAGACTTGGTTGAAAAGTCGAACCACTTTAAATAGCTGTGCAAATTTTCTATCTTTTAATCTCCTTACTCCCTAAACACAAGAATTATCCCGACCCTTCTTGGCGAACTCTTTCGGTTATCAATTCGAGCTTTCGTCATAAGCATTTATTGACTCGAATCAAAATAATTTGACTAAGGGTAATATTCGTTCATTTTAAGAATGTCGTAAAGTGAATGTCTTAACGTATAAGAAAGTTACTTTCGATAGTTTTAAAATGAAAGTTTATCCCATTAAGTGACACAAATAAATTGATTCTATTTTCAAATTTGGGGATTGAGAAAAAGATCATGTTCTTTTAATTAAGTTCACGGAGAAAAGACTGTTAGATCGAATCTAAGGTCTCATCTTGATGTATTTAAATAATTGAACATCCTTATTCTCATTAAGGGTTGGTAAAAAATAATTAATTGTACTTGGTTAATGTATGTTTTTAAATTTTTTAATTTATTTTTGCATGTATTTTTCATGATTTCAAAAATAAATAGCACTTGAATTAATATTGAATTTTAGGATGAAACAGTAACATTTCTTTATTTTGATTGGAGTAATAAATGGCTTCTTTAAGGCATGAGATGTCATATATTCTCGATTGGAAATAATTAGACGTTATCGTTTTCCCTCTTAAAATTCGAGGAATGTGTAAAAAAAAGGTCTTGGGGTTATTTTGTTATTGTATTGTTATTTATACGCTTAATTTTGAATTAATAATGAGCTTTATAATGAAATTGTAATATTTTTTTATTTCAGTTGGAGTAAGAATCACTTGCTTTAAGGCATGAGAAGTCGATTTTTCTCGATAGTTAATAATTAAATATATGTTTTGTTCTAAAATTCAAAGAAAATTATTTGTATGGGATCTTAAATTAAATTAAACTCGAATTTGTAAATTTCATTGCAAAGACATCAAATCAATCGACTACGTACTGATTTAGGGCGCTGTGGGGGTGCTAATCATTTCCTGCGCGTAATCGACTCCCGAACTCAAATTTTGGTAACACAGACCGAAAATTTGTTATTTTAATTAAAATTAATATTTTTCTTAAAATAACAAATACATTTTTGGGTGCCCAATCACACCCTAATCAAATATTGGTGGCGACTTCTTGAATCACGTTTTATTAATAACATGTTACTAAATTATTCGAGACGAGATCTTTTAAAAACAGATTTTAAAAAATAAAATATGTTTTTTAAAGAAAAATCGTTTTGACAATCGTAAGTTACTCGCGTCAATACACAAATCTGCCTATATTTGATAGCTATATTTTAATATAAAATTTGTAGGTATGCAATAATGCAGTTAGAGAACTTTGTGTTACTGATATGATTATATTATATATAATCATTTTATATAATTATTTTCTAATTATTTTTAATATATATAAATATTTTTTTAGTAATTTAATTTCTATTCTTAATGTTTTTATTTTTAATTTTTTGAATTTTAAAATTTTGAATTTAAGATAATTGTTATTTTCTTTAAAAAATAAAAATAAATCCCTAAACATTAAAAAATCAATTTTGCCCTTGAATAAAATAAAAATCCAATTTAACCTATATGTAGTGTTATCCGTCACATCAATAATGACCGTTGATTATCGCATTAGTATCATGAATTGCCAGATTAGTAACAATCAACTACATAAAATGTTAGTTAAAAAAATCATATTAATTTTTTTATGAATTAAAAGGTCACATTGAATGAAAAAAATAATTCAAGAGTCATATTGAGTTAATCGATCGGATGAAACGGCCAAGAGGGGGTTGAATTGGCAATAAAAATTCCAGTGGAGGCTTTTGCAGAAAATTAAAAAGATTTGTACAGAGATTTAGAGTGGTTCGACTTTCTCAAACAAAGTCTACGTCCACTACCTTAGCTATCTACACTAAGGATTTTTCACAAATTCACTAATTTGTCTTTCTTTTGAGGACAAAGAGTAATTTTACAAATCCCTCAAGAATTATACCCCAAAATCTTGAGAACACTCTCTCCCAAAGAGAAAATTACAAATTTCACAAACTTACAGAAAAACCTCTCAAGGTAAGATGTTTGCACAATTCTAGAACAAAGAAGGAACACTCAAGAATAAATAACATTGAGCACAAATGGTGTTCTTAAAAGCAAAATGAATATTGAATGGAAATAAGGCTTGAATTGCTCAAACTTGATGTTTAAGGCTTTCTCTTTGATTCTCTCTTAATTCTTGTTTTTTGTTATTAATCAATGGCTTCAGAACTTGTTTAATTACACATTGGATTGATTCTGAACGTTGGGGATCATTGGTGAAGTCAATAGAGTCGTTGTTGTATGTTTTCCATTTAAAAAATCAGTTGAGAGCGTAGGGGTATCGGTACACCTTCGAAGGGTATCGGTACACCCAATGTACATTACAAAAATGTATAAAAAAAGGGGGAGATTGTTAAAAACATTTTGATATTTCGATATAAAAAATAAAGTATAAATAAATTTTAAGATTTTATATTCGATTTCAAAAATAATATTCGATTAAATTAATCGAATATCAAAATATTACTCCAAGTTTTCAAATGTCAATTTTACTCCTTACTTAAGTATAAAATTGTGTTTCAATCTTAAAATATTTGTGAAATAATTTTTACAAAGTATTCTGAACCTTAATCGAGCCAAATATGAATTTTACAAAGGGAGGTACCGATACCCCTCAATTTCGAATGGAATAAGGGTACCGATACACAACCGAATGTACCGACAAACAACCGAATGTACCGACACACTCCATGTCTAAAATGGCTCTGAGAAACATCGAATGTAATTAATGTATTGATACCCCTAGGGTGTACAGATACACTAGGTCAAATAAATATTTAAATTTTACACTGGGTGTATCGATACCCTTCGAAGGTGTATCGATACCCCTACGCTCCAAACTGATTTTTTAAATGGAAAACATACAAAAACGGCTCTATTGACTTCACCAATAATCCCCCAACGTTCAGAATCAATCCAAGGTGTATTTAAACAAGTTCTGAAGCCATTGATCAATAACAAAGAACAAGAATTAAGAGAGAATAAAAAAGAAAGCCTTAAACATCAAGTTTCAGCAATTCAAGCCTTATTTCCATTCAATATTCATTTTCCTTTTAAGAATACCATTTGTGCTCAATTGTATTTATTCTTGAGTGTTATTTCTTTATTCTAGAATTGTGCAAACATATTACCTTGAGAGGTTTTTTTGTAAGTTTGCGAATTTTGTAATTTTCTCTTTGAGAGAGAGTTGTCTCAAGAATTTGGGGTATAATTCTTGAGAGATTTGTAAGGTTACTCTTTGTCCTAAAAAGAAAAATAAATTAGTGAATTTGTGGAAAATATAGCTAAGGTAGTGGACGTAGGCTTTGTTTGAGAAAGTCGAACCACTCTAAATCGCTGTGCAAATCTTTTCAATTTTCTGCAAAAGCTTCTACCAAAATTTGTATTACCAATTCACCCCCTCTTAGCTAGCCGATTCATTCGATCGATTAACAAGACATTAATTTTTTTTAATAAAAATACAAGGGTATGATATGCCTTTTTTGCATTCATTTTATAATTTCCTCAATTCAAAATGAATTGATACGAGAGTGAGACGGTTCAAATTGTATGCTGCCTGCCTGGCCCTAACCCAGGTTTTTGTTAGTTCCATTTCGCCTTTCCCTCCAAATCCCTCTCAGTTTTCCCTCCTAAACTTTCCCTGTCAATACTCAAATATATGCCCCTTCCTTTGGGTTCTTCACTCCGTTCCTTAAAACTACACCCACATCCCACCGCAATGGCCGCCGCATCCTCTAAAACCATAACTGATTTCTTCCATCCAAATCCAGCCACAGCAAAGCGTCGGAAGCTAACCACTTCCTCCGATTATCAACCACCGTCCTCTCTCACCGCCCAGCAAAAATCTCGGATTGAATTGAACAGATACTTGGCCAAATCCAAACGCAATCTCAAAATCTGTTCCCAGAAGGTTGAAGGATCGCGTTATGTCAAACTGGAGGAACTCTTGTTGGAGGACACTTGGGTTGAGGCCTTACCCGGGGAGCTTCAGAAGCCTTACGCCATTAACTTGTGCAAATTTGTTGAGGCTGAGATATGCAATAGCGGCGTCTCTGTTTATCCTCCCCAGCACTTGATTTTCAATGCCCTTAATTCTACTCCTTTTCACAGGGTCAAAGCAGTTATCATTGGTCAGGTAAAAATCCGTAACTTGATAGACGCGATCTTACGGTCAATCAATGGGAGACTTGACATGGCAGTTGGTACAAGCTCGAAAATAAAGCGCTCTTTTGTTTCCTTTTCCTATTCTATTATGAGCTTGTGTATCTTTTACCTGTGCTACTCAGACTTTGTTGGGAATAATGTATACGGAAATATGTTTGACACGAGTTTATATTTTCTGATTTTTTTTTCATTTATGTATAGATTTTCTTTTGAGAAATCGTATCTGGATATGCAGCTCGAATTGGAGTAACGTAGATTTTTACTTATTTCAGGATCCATATCATGGACCTGGTCAAGCAATGGGGCTTTCATTTTCAGTGCCAGAGGGAGTGAAGATCCCTTCGAGCCTGGTAAATATATTTAAGGAACTTAAGCAGGATCTTGGATGTTCAATTCCATCCAATGGAAATCTGGAGAAATGGGCTGTTCAGGTGAAAATTGTGTGCATTATATCAGAATGCACCAAAATGTCAACTGATAATTGAACCTATAAATGAAGAAAATATAGATTTCATCTTATATTAGCTTCTTCCCTAACTGTTTTAAATATCTTGTAGGGTGTTCTTTTGCTGAACACTGTTCTCACGGGTAAATTTCTAGCCCATACTTGAGTTTGTGATATTATTTTTATGTGAGCTTATGATTGGATTGTTTAGACTTTGTTGATGTCAATATGTCCGTTACTTTCATGAAAAATTATTAAGGCAATGGTATGGTGAAGCCTTGTTTAATAGTGAAATTCATAAGAGTTTAAAGAGCACCATTTAGCATGAATTGTTACAGTGAATTCATGAAAGAAGTAAGTAAAGCCATTAGGAGTCTGCATTATTCACACTTTCAAATTAGATCTAGATATGCAGATACCAGTTTCTCAAATCTGTTTCCTCTTGAGGAATTTGAAGGGGTTATGATGACTAAGATGGTTGCCTTGTTTATATAACAAAGTTATTGTCATGCTGCGCTCTCTTAACCTAGGAATATTTTGCTCCCTCTTGGTATCATCTCCTTTGGAGATTGTTAAGTGGTTTAATCTCTTATATGTTAAACATTGGGTTTTTTTGTGGTCTTATATTAAACTTGGACTTTCCACTTATTGCAAAGTGGTTTTATATTAGATACTTAACATGGTATCAAAGCTTGGGTTCTGTTTGATGGCTTCTGGTAAGGTTGTCCACACATAGGTTCTGTGAGCTACGAGTGAGTAGTGCAAGTGGTGTTGTCTGACATATGTTATATATTGGGTTTCCTATGATCTCCAACTGGATTCTTAACAAGAATGAAACTTTACTCTTTTGTTATTGTTATCCACTTCTCTTCTAATCTATAGCATTCTCGGATTTTTTGTTTTAATTCTTGATATTCAGTAAGGAAGCAGCAAGCTAATTCTCATGCAAAGAAAGGGTGGGAGCTATTTACTGATGCTGTTATTAAGACTATCTCACAAAAGAAGGAAGGAGTTGTGTTTCTTCTATGGGGGAACTCAGCTCAAGAGAAATCAAAGTGTGTCTTTTTTTCAATCATATTCCGTCCCTATTCCCACTTTCTTTCTCTCTGTGTAATTCTAGGAATTTTTTTCTTACACAAGTTAAATTGAGCTCTTCATCTCATTATGAGAGAATTTCATTCAATGTCTCGTGTTCATGTATTGTCTTACACATTCTGTTTTAGGGACCTATATTAGTGTCAGCCAACTCAACATGGATATGTGTTATGTTATTCAGACTTGAATATGAGTATTGAATACTGATTTTGAAAATGGATATTTCTAGAAAAAAGAGTTGGTGCAACATAGGAATGAAAAATAGTTTAAATCTAAAATATTTGCTATTGCATATATTCTTGCTCCATGTATCATACTATGTTGGTAAATTTAAGAGTGCACTGCAATGTTTGGTGTAAAATATGCACTGTTCCAATGGGGTAACTAAAACATTTACCTTTATGATATTGACAAACTTGATTGAGACTTCTCTTAATCTGTCTCAGGTTGATTGATCAGACAAAGCATCACATTCTCAAGGCAGCTCATCCTTCTGGTTTGTCTGCAAATAGAGGCTTCTTTGGTTGCAGGTTAGTATGGATAGGCACAAGTTCTCTACGTTGTGGTTTGCAGTATGAGCCTGCTGTCTTTGATATATTTGTGGGTGTGTTTGTAATTTTTGGCTTTTGGATTCCATGATGTTGGTTGGTTTATTGTGATTGTATTTTATGGAACCAACAATGGACTAATAGAATTTAGGAAATAGTTATATCAGTAGGACTTGGATAAGAGTGTCTGAAATGAGTATGTTCAGATGGGAGTAGTTTTTTTTTCTTTTTTTCTTCTTCAAGATTTACATGTATTTGGAAGGTCCTTTTAAGATCAGACATCTCATTACCTATATTTGGATATGCATCGAACATGGATATATCAAATGTGGGTACTTGAAGAACTGTTGGAGCAACATTGTTAATAGTAGCAAAATCAAATAAGTGACTGCCAATTACTATTTGGCCTTTTATATTTGTTTTTGTGATTGCTACACAAAATCTCTTGTAGTTTCGAGGTCTTTTCACTTGTTGATGATTATGGTCTAGTCCCCATCTATCTTATCTAATTATCCATAATTTCTTGCGACATTTCAAACAGGCATTTCTCTCGCACAAACCAGCTTTTGGAGCAAATGGGGACTGATCCTTTAGATTGGCAACTTTGATTTCAACCATCATTTTCAGTGAGAGGACATATTTTGTGTGCAAACTAATCTAGATAGCCAGGCCTTCTACTTGAATTTTCTAGAACGGCAAAAGCTTTGGGGATTTGTTGCAGAAATTTTGTTGCGATATCTCAATAGGCACATTTTGGGATGGGATTTGTATTAGTATGTGACCCCTTCACCAGCTCTCGGTGTCGGAGCCTATTTTGTGTAAAAGTCACCAAATATTGTTCAATGATATCATGACCAAAACAATGGCCTCAATGAAAGTGTCTTGAAAAAATAGAAAAAAATGAACTAAAGAAGAAAAATGAATAATTAATCTTAGAAAAAAATAAAAGAGAATAAAAAATTGAATAAAGAACGAAATAAAAATTAAGTAGAATTTTTACTGTGCTGTCTTCTAATGAGAAGCTTAGGGAAACTGGGAAAGAGGGAAATCCCTAAAATTTTAATAAATATATATATATATATAGTCATATTGATAATTTTTACCTTGAATCTGATCTTGCCTCGAATTCGACTTTCTTTATTATATAACCTACCCGATCCGTCTTAAACTCATTTTTTAAGAAAGTCCCTTTAAGATTGAATTGAACTGAAATTTATTAAATTCGAATATTTTAATCATCCTATCTAGTATCGCATAGAAGACTGCATTTCAACGCTTTGAGTTGAAGTGTTTGGAGTGGGCCGAGATGCCAAGAAGTGAAAGCCCAAAATATCTTTAGACCCTACACGCCAGTCTATCACAGTAGAGATCTTCTGCTATATCGTTAAACCCTAACCAAAGCCAAGTAAAACCCAGTTCCCAGTTCCTAGTTCTCACTCAACAACACACAAATTTGTTGAAAAAAATAATAAAATAAAAAGGAAACAAAAATGCAATCTCAGCTTCAAAAATGAAGCTAGTATTTGCAACTCTAAGTTTCCTCATCAAAATGCTCGTGTCTCTCCGCAATCTCTCACTTCAACCGCAGAATCCCTATGAGAGTAAGCCACCCTTTTCTTCTCTTTCAAAACCCACCATCCAATATATCTCTTGTTGTCTTCTTTTTGTTTTATTCAGTAGTTTTTGTTTCTTGATCAAGCTCCCGTTTGGTACCAAGTCTGATTGCAATGCCAACAATTTTTTAGATGGTCATTTGTCCGGGTGTACACAAATATTATTAAACTATTATTTATTTATTATTATTATTATTATTATTTATTTACATATCTTTTTTGTAGGCCCAGAGCCCAGATTACAAAGGAAGCCTAATGAGCCCAACCTAGAATTAACCCACCAACAACCCACCAGCAGTGATTCAACCCAAAACCCTACCCGGATTCGACCCAGTTGAAGCCCAACAACTGATCCAAACCCGGCACCAAGCCCTCTTGGGTGACTCGAACCGGCCCAAAGTCAGCAGACCCAAGTTAAACTAGGGTTTCAAAACCGTAACCCTAAAGCTTCAATCGCCACCGCCATCGTTCACAGGATCCAAATCGTCCACTCAGGCGTGTGTGATGAACGCGCCGACTCTTCAACGCCCAGACCAGTGCGTGAGTTGCCGACGATGTTTCCCGACGCTGCCGCATCATCAACCTGTCATCCACAGTGCACTAACAACCCCAAATCAGTCAACAAACAACAAGTCAGAGAACCCATGCCTAAATCCCGAAAATATGGGATTTTTTACCTGCAAAAAACAAGAAACACATACCCTATCATATCTACCCATCTCATCAAAAAAAATCAGCAGGGAATGAACCATATTTAAAAGAAAAGAGAAGACAGAGAAGGAGACGGAAGCATTCGGGGAGAGGAAAAAGAAGAAAAGAAAAAACGAAAAAGAAAAGATAAGAAAAAAGGGGAGAACCAAGAACAAGAACAATAAAACCAAGAGATAAAAAGGGGGTTGAGAGGAGAAAAGTCTTACCTTGATTCAGAGTTCACCGGGAAGACGAGAATCCGCCGATTCTCAACGTTTTCGAAAGGTAAAAGGTTGGATTTAGGTCATTAGGGGGCTTTTTAAGGTAAATTAAGGTGGGTTTCGGTTTAAGGGGAAAGAGAGGAACATTTTGGGCTTTCTCCGATCATTGGATCCGCCGTTTGTCATCGCGGCCTCCACCGTGGCTCCCTCTACCTGACGAGGGGAGGTTGAGAGATTTCCAAATCTCTCTATTCTCTATTTTGTGAAGTAAGGGAAATGAGGGTGAAATGAGAATGAAGCTTGGTTTTGGGGCTTATATGCGCCGACCAAAACGACATCGTTTTGCCCAGGGGCTTTCACCGTGTTTTTCAAGTGTTGGGTGAATAGCCATTTAGGTCCTTCATAATTTGTAAATCTTTATTCTTATCATTAATGAAACTTTACCTATATTTTACTTTTAGCTCCTATTTTATTTTGTTTTACAATCTCGTCCATGTTTCCTTTTAAAATATTTTGGTCTTATTTATGTCTGGGTCATTCTGTTTTAGAACATTTCTCTATTTGCAATACATGTTTAGAATAGTTCATTTTAATCATTATCATATGTGTTATACCATTTTCATTTATGTTCGACTCTGAGTGTAATATTTACAAACATTTAATTTTAGTCACTGTTTTAGTTTATTGTGTATTTTCCTTGATCTTCGAATATGGCCATGACATTTGTAAATATTTTATTTTAGTCACTGTTTGGGCATTTGGTTTAATTACTATGTGGTCCTTTATATTTTTTGTTTATTTCATTTTAGTCCTCAATACTATTTTTGGGTTATTTTCATTTATAGTACTCAATAATATTTTTGGGTTATTTTCATTTATAGTACTTGTACTGTTTAATATTTTCGTTTTTCACTCTGGTTTATATATATTTATGATTCAGACCCTTAAATTTTTATTTGTGCTATTTTGGTTCTTTAAGTTTCTGTTGTTCCCATTCTGGTCCTTGTAATTATAAATACTTACTTTTTGGTCATTTTAGTTTAGTTTGTAATATTCATTTGTTTTTATTTCAATCCCTTATGTATGTACATATTATATGTTACGTATTCACTTGTATCACATATAAATAAATTTGTTTATCTATATTTATTGTAAATATTTTTATTTCGCATGTTTTCAATCATCATTATTTTAATATACGAAAAAATGAGAAAATTTCAATGTGGGGGAAATCTACGAAGATATCTCCCAACTAAAGGGAAGCTATCTTTTCGAGCATTTTTTGCATAAATATTATTTTATATTCGATAATTTTATTTGTTTCACGTTGTTAGGATTTTCGGAAGCTCGAATCGACAACTAGAACGGTTTGTAAAGAGGGGTCGGAATGGTTTTGTGTTTAGGGAGTAAGGAGATTGAAAGATAGAGAAATGAACAACGATTTATAGTGGTTCGACTTTCTCAACCAAAGTCTACGTCCACTACCTTAGCTCCTCACCAAGGATTTTCCAACAAATTCACTAATTTGTTCTTTCTTTTGAGGACAAAGAGTAACCTTACAACTCCCTAGTTTTTCCGGGCTAAACGAGAACCTTTCCCTAGCTTTTACACGGGATAAGCTAAAACCTTTCCCCTTTACAAAAGGATAAAATAAGTAAACAAGAAAACCTCTCTAAGGTAGGTGTTTACAAGATTGAGCTCACAAGAACAAAATATATACAAGAGAAAGATGAAATAAGAATGAAAAACTCTTCTCTTGTGTTTGATTGCTTGGATAGTTGTTCTCTTACATCTTCAAGTGTGCTTAGGTTGTATTTATAGATTGGAATATGTTTGAAGTCGTATATAGCCGTTGGGGATGTTTTGGAGCCGTTTGGAGATGAGAAACAATTAATAAAACAACTTGGAGCGTGGGGGGAATCGGTACCCCCTCATGGGGAATCGGTTCCCTAAGTGTAATATGTTTTTGACCGTTAGACAGGGGGGAATCAGTACCCCCTTGGGGGGAATCGGTACCCCCTTGGGGGGAATCTGTACCCCTTGGGGGAGAATCTGTACCCCCTGGACAATCTGATTTTTCTTGGCTTTGAAACGGTTCGAAATACTTTGTAAAATTGTTTTAAAATAGTTTAAGTATAAAACACAATTTTACACTTTATTAAGGATTAAAATGAACTTTGAAAGACTTGGAGTAATATTTTGATATTCGAATAATTACATCGAATATACTTTGAAAATCTTTTGTAAAATCTTAAAATTCATTTAAATTAATTTGTTATATCAAAACATCAAAATGTTTTCAACAATCTCCCCCTTTTTGATATAACAAAACATTTTGGTAATTTTAAGATTTTCTAATTGAAATCATTTTTGAAATCAAGTTTAAAAAATTACTCCCCCTTACTCTAACACTTCTCCCCTTTTGTTAAATCAAAAAGAATTCAATCTTTGAAGTTCCAAAATAAATTTGGAGAGTAAGTAGTAAATTTGACATTTTAAAAATCATTTGAAAAATCAAAACTCCCCCTCAATAAATGTATTCCAAATAAAATTATACTTTTAGGATCTTGACACTTAAACAAAATTGAATTTCAACAAAGAATAACAAACATGTTAGTAGCACATGAAAATCAGTGTATCCAAGTCTAAAATACTTTATACAATACCAATTGTTGAATTTAAGATCATATGCATAAAGTTTTCTAAAAATGTTATGCATTTGAAAAGTTTTGAGATCAATTATTTTCATTTAAACCACATGCATAAACATACAAATTTAGGTAAATTGTTTTAAAGATTTATAAAATCAAAGTACTTGAAAAGTAGATATCAATTGTTAGAGAGATATCATTTGCATTTAAAACCAATTTGATCAAAAATTTTATTATGATGAACTAAAAATTCCTAAAAATTAATAAATGTTCATCATAATCATCTTTTCAACATACATGAGATTAAAAACAATGATGCATAATCATTTAAAACAAAAACTCATGCATGCTTAAAATCAAATGAGAAACCAAATAACCAAAATTAAAAGTATTAAGCTTAGAGGTTACCCATTCCTTTTTCATGTGTGGCTAGAGCATCTTGAATATCATTATTTTCATCACCATTGCTCCCACACACCTACAAGAGACATTTAAGTAGATTTTGTTATCCAAATTACTTTGGATCCTTGGACGTTAGTTTCAATGCTCCTTGTTCCTTTTGGAACCCATACTTGC